CACTGCCACTTCAACTTGCAGATTCGGAGAGCTATGTCGGTGACTCCGGATTTCTTCATTCCGGATTATGTCACGCAAGGAAACTCCGAGAATAGCTCTCTCCATAGCTGGTTGTGTGACGCTGAGCTTCTCCAAAAGGCCAGCTTTTAGAGACCACGTCTCACTGCCATAAGTCATCGCTGGCACACACACTGGTTATATTGTGTCATCAGGCATTGCGGAATTTCGGACGAAAATATATCGAGTAGCTTCCCAAACATTGCCCAAAATAATAAAAATAGAAAAAAAGAATATAATTTATTTTATTTAATTTGTTAATTATTATTATGGATGAATTTTTCTTTCATTGGTGGCCCAGATGTTTCAAATCTCATTTGGCCTACGCGTGCAACCTTCCCTCTGATAGCAAGCCCCGGGGCGGCAGATGCGGGACTAATTGCTGCCCCACGTAGGGCTTGAGACGGGTGCCGTGATCATTGCACCGAAACGGCACCATTTGGCTGGATCGGGTGTCTAAGCACCCGGGGAGAGCAGAATATTGCTTTTTTTTCTTTTTGCGTGTCCCCGGCAAAGCGACAGCGCAGGTGCAACGTGGGTTTTTAGTGGGTACCCCGTAACTCCCACATACCCCTGCTGCCTACCCACAAGTCGGCGGGGGATACATAAAGGATTTTTCCCACGTAAAAAAAATTGGCCTAATGGGTAGTGACCTTGCCTCTTGCGCCAGAGGGTGTGGGTTCGATCCCCACTACTGGAAAAATATTGTGTGATGAACATAGTGCTTCTCCTGTGTCTCGGTGTTTATGTACTTATAATGTTTATTTACAGAAGAAAAGTATGTTTAATTATGCTTATTAGTCATCTAATACCCACAGTACAACCGTTGCTTAGTTTGGAACGTTGTGTAAAAATGCGTCCTAAAGTGACGTCTCTGAGAGAGAGGATACCTTGCTGTCGTTCATCGTCTGTAGTTTTATGTACGTCATCGCGCTCACTTATGAATGCTGGGGTATTATGAATATCCGTTATAAAGAGCCCAAAGTCAAGTTTCCGTGACGAATAACTTTAATTAAACACTTTGTTGGCTCGAAGAGCTAAAACAAAGCTTCTCGATCGTTCGAGACGCTTTGATACGTACGTATTTTTATCATCAAATTAAAATTGTTACAGAAAGCCCGCTCATTTCACTGGCTAAACGCAGACTGCTGAAGTCGTATAAAAAAACAGTTATTGAGATATTACTTGTGTACTACTAGATAGAATAGAATAAATTTATACTCATCGTTGAATTAAGACATTCTTATCATTTTATTGAAATTAATTTAAAGTTAAATTTTAAAAACTTACACCTGACAACTAACACAGTTTTTGCTCTATGCGCGGCAATACATAATATGTATGGCGCACCACCAACTAAACGGTTTCGATTTGTCAAAAATAAAAATATGAATTGAAATATTACCCTACCCTAGTCGTGACAGCTCAGTGACCGGGCGCTCGTTTTTAAGGTAAAATACTCGAGCAACCTGAGTTCAAATCCGCCAGCACTAAAAAAAATTGACAATTTTAAGTCCTGACTTATCACGTGATGTGCGGTGAAGGCAAAACATCGTGAGGAAATTCGCAGTGGGGTCTCGTGGTGGACAATATCCTAGGACAGCCTGTTAACCAGTATCTTTTTTTTATGTGAAAAGTTTTCAAGCGGGAAGATGGTTCATCTGATGTTAAGTGAATACCGCCGCCTGTAGACATGTGGTACACCCGAGGTTTGCAGATGCGTTGACAACCTTTTGAAAATTGGGCTCCGGCCACCTCACTCACCAGACGAAACGCGAAAGTATTATACTTCCACTTTACGCCGGTCTTCTGTGAGGTCGTGGTACTTACCCGGACGAGCCTGCCCATTTGTGCAACAGTCGCGGCTGCTGCATGGCTCTACCACCGTATAAAATAAATATATTTTGCCTTATACTAATATCCATTAAAATATTAACTGAGCACAGTCATCAGAAGTTATTCTATGGTAGTAATAAGCGCCTACAAATAAAAAATATCAAAGTAAAGTTTCTGCGTAAAGCATTTGTATATATTTTTTTCAGCTATAGTGTTCATATCTTAACAAATAACAAGTAAGCAGGTGAGGAAGCAGTTTGCTTTGATGTATAGAATTATTTCTACTGCTTAACATGCACCGTTAACAACGCCTTTATGCTCTGATGAGTGATAAAACTGGAGACCCAACTGCATCATTTCTGCGGAAGTCCGTATGATGGAAGGCTTGTAAAACCCTTACCTGCCGCCTCGAGTAGGAGAGTTTGGTATTGGAGCTTTCTCCGGCTTACTCAATCAAATTTATTGAGACCATAGAGTGAGCCTCGGTGACCAGGTCACGGAGACAGATAGAATTTATATTCAACAGAAGCCATCCCGCCCCGTGCAAGACAGAAATAAAAGTACACTCGCCATACTGTCTCAGAGTTTATTAATGCATAACATAAATAGCATATCGTTGATGCTCACTGTTTTACTATATTTTAAGTTACCCAAGTTAAAGGAAGAACTCTGAGTATTTAAACAATTATATAATAACTAGATTAATTTTTTTTTATGTGAAAAGTTGTCAAGCGAGCAGACGGTTCACCTGATGTTAAGTGAATACCGCCGCCCATGGACATCTGCTACACCCGAGGGTTGCAGATGTGTTGACAACCTTTTGAAAATTGGGCTCCGGCCACCTCACTCACCAGACGAAACGCGAAAGTTTTATACTTCCACTTTACGACGGTCTTCTGTGAGGTCGTGGTACTTACCCGGACGAGCCTGCCCATTCGTGCAACAGCCGAGGCCGCTGCATGGCTCTACCACCGTAAAAAATTTTCACTTATCATAACTACATAACACATTACGTGTTTAATACGACTAGAAGCTTGATTTGAGTACAATTATAAACATACCAGAAGAGAGAATATCAAACCTTGCCTTCTTAATTCCACATAAATATGAAGACCTCAAGAATCTTCATGTGCCAACAAGGTCTATTCACCTAGTCCCGTAATACTTTGCATGTGAAAAGCAGACAACCTCAGATTAAAAACATTGCTTGAAAAAAAAAATAATGGACGAAATACTGCCAGATCCAACAGCAAACTTACTAGTGATGTGGGTTTTCCATATATAATTTGAAGGCTACGAACCCAAAACAAGTTATAGATTACCAGATGATGCCAAGGAAACCAGTTAAACGCTAATCTAAGCCACTTGATACCTAAGGGTATGAGGCTTGGAAAAGAAAGGTTTTATAGGCTTACTCTACGTCCAAACTAACCGCTGCATCCTTAATCTCAACTTCCTCCGCCCATGGATGAGTCATAGTATACTAGATGATCATCATCGAGTTATCTCGCCTGTGCAGAGATGGAAGGTGACTTAAGTTTATTAAGTTTATAAGGTCACATATTGTGGACAACTTAAAAAAGATCACAATGGCTTTCAGTGACTTTTGCAAAGATCCAGTTAACACGACGCCTGAAAGTACCTAAAACTACCAAATTCATTATTTATGCCCAAAGAAAGGTTAACTTGTGTATACTCTTAAAAGCAATATAGATAGCTAGTGCATAACTATAAAATTCGTACAACCTTGACCTAATACATGGAATAATTGAAATAAAGGAGAAGCACACGCCCAGCGCTATCTCGCCAAATGCCCCATATCAGATACCGCTGATAACGGATAAGCGGACAAATGCGTGATTCATTTAATACAACCGAAGCGCTCTGGACGCTGTACTCTGTATAATTGGTGCAATAAGAATCAGTGTGTTGTGAGTTAAGTGTATAATTGACAATCTCTTTGGAATTCACTAGTAATCGACGTTAATTCTTCCTGCCGTCGATTATGGATTAGGTTTGTCTGTAATGTTTTTTTTTATCAACCAACCTTTAGTGTATAATTTAACATTTATTGAACTTGTGCCTCTTAAATTCAATCTGTTCTTTTTATTTTCATTTAATTGTTCCTAATTCGTTTGTGCCGCTCTTGTATCATGCGTTTGTGGCCAGTTAAGTTGCTGTTCGAATGCCGAAACATTTAAATATTTTGTTTGTTACATGTTTCGTTTCGTCGCAGTTAAGTTTAATTTGTAAATTCTTTTATGTCTATTTTTTTTTTAATTCATAACTGGCCTGCACTTGACTGCCATCCCACCTGATGGTAAGTGGCGATGCAGTCGTTGATGTGTGTATCGTAGTGTTAAAGAGTTGCTTATTAATCAAATATCCAAAGTGACATTACTTATCTATACATTACTACGTGAAACAAAAACTTTGTACCAATTTTCACGAAAATTGCGCGGACGGAGTATTATCAAATTTCCCACACGTATAGTTTATATAGAGTAGGAGTGCAGAATGCTAATATTTTTCTTTTTTTTTTTTTTAAAAATTATGCCAAAAAATACATTAAATAAATAAAAAAGAACATTACACACACTAGCATGTATTTAATTATGGTCTAATTTCGACAACTAGGCGGCCACTAGTATAAATAACTATAATTATCATTTAATACATTCAGCGACGTCTGTCTAATTCTTGATAGATGTCGCAGTTAGCACTTATTTAGACAATCTTTTTGTTACTTGAATCATAATTGGGTCCAACTTGTACCTTTAGTACTACACTCATGTTTAAATAGTACGGTATTTTGATATCGCTTCATATCTTCATCTTCATCTGGAAAAGTATTTAGCAAATAAATTAGGTTATAGTGTCTCATATCTGAACATACTCGGAATTTTTGAACCGTTTGACTTTTTGTACGTTTCTATCTGTTTGCCACTAGATTATACTCCCATCTGAATTATCTCACATCTAACACGGCTACGAGTCCTTTGATACTTATAATATAATAACAAATAACGATAGCGATCTTTGCTACAGACTAATATGACTAACCGGTGTGGACTAACCTGGTGTTGGCGTTAACATTCGTTAGCAGAATGAGTTTGAACAAGTTGAGGGTTGACGACCAGGGTCCCGGCAGCGTCGGCAAGGACAGCCCCTGTTACTTCTGCAATGAAATGTTCGAGATGGGGAAGCTGCAGGTCAGTTCAGCGAAAGCACACCTTCGACTGACGTATCTTAGTCGTTTCCTAAGCGTATAGACTATGTACATATCGACGACCCGTTTGGCGTAGTCGGTAGTGTATCCGCCTTCTGCGCCAGGGGGTGTGGGTTCGATCCCCACTACTGGAAAAATATTGAGCATAGTGTTTTTCTAGTGTCTGGGTGTTTATATATGTATAATGTGTATTTATTTACAAAAAAAAACGTATGTTTATGTATGTCTATCAGTTTTCTAGTACCCATAGTACAAGCGTTGCTTAGTTTGGGATTAGAGAATGTTGTGTAAAAAAAATGTGTCCTAAATATTAAAAAAAAGGTGTTCTCTATGATCGTAATAATTCAGAACAAGAAGACAAAACTAGAATACATTCTTGTAAAATTTATCAGTTAGGACAATGGATGCCATTTTTAGGGTTCCGTATCCAAATCTAACACGAACTTCAGTAATGAAGACCACGAAGAAGAAGAAGAAGATGAAGATCCAAATCTAAAATGGGACCATATTACTAAGGCTCCGCTGTCAGTCTGTCACCGGACTGTTATCTCATGAACCGTGATAGTTAGAAAATTGAAATTTTCACAGATGATGTATTTCTGTTGCCGCTATAACAACAAATAAAAAACATTTAAGTGGGGCTCCTACATATGATTTTTTTCCATTAGTAAGATTATGGAACAGAACCATTGGTACACGAGTCCGACTCGCACTTGTCTGTTTTTTATCTACTTAAGATTCACACTGCTACTTTTATGCACGTTCTTATTAGTATTTTTGTATAGAATCAAACTTGTAAATCAGAACACAGCAGCAACTTGAGTTCAAATCGCCTGTTGGCATCAACATAATTGTGACTTGCAATTTTAAGTTAAAATTGTTACTGGCAAAATTGATAGTACATATACAGCGTGTCGTTACCATCGCGACAATAAATGAACACACGTCTAACGCTACTTGCCAATAATCATAAAGAAAAATATTGACGTTAAACAAAATCCATGATTAAAAAAAATATTTTTCAAAGAAAACTAATTAAGTAAAAAAGAAACTAAATTTGTAACGTCCTATACAACTTTTAAATTATTTATAGTGCTAATCTTTGCACTTAAGATTGAACATTAAAATATGTAGAAAAAGTGCGAAAAGATTGTCGCCGTTGTGGGAACCGAACCCACGTCTTCGGCATTCGCGGCCTGACGCTCTAGCCACTGAGCTAAACGGCGACATCTCTCGTTCGAATTATCGTTGTAAAATGATATTCGAAATTGTTTGTATGCTGGAAAGGATATAACAATAGAAAGCATTGCTTCAAATGCTAAGAAAACAATGTGGAAGAATGCGTTAAGATTTTCGATTCGTCGGTGTGACAATCAGCCGTTTTCAGCTTAGTGGCTAGAGCGTCAGGCCGCGAATGCCGAAGACGTGGGTTCGATTCCCACAACGGCGACAATCTTTTCGCACTTTTTCTACATATTTTAATCCTATACAACTCCCCACAGCGTCAAATTACAAGCCTCTCCTTCTAAAATTATGTTTTGTCCCTTTTAAATTCATTCAACCCATTCATATGCTTTGTGACCTTTACAAATGAACTTTACGTTACGCTTTTATAGGTAAGGGTGTTCTAAAACACTTTGTTTTGGAAAATTTAATAACTGTAAATATTGATGTTTAAAGAATGTAAATGTTTAATACAATTTTAAAAAGTTATCCCCTATATGTGTGTTCATTTATTTTCGCTATTGTAAAGACACGCTGTATAATTCGAAGATATATGAAACCACACTTGTTTCGTGGTGGAATGTATCTACCCTAATAACCTCTGTTTTGTCATTTATCTTAATAGGGGGACATATATAGGCTGTTACTTACACATATACACGTAGAGTACGTGATATAATTAAATTTTCCTGCCAAATCCCCATGTTCTTCGCATTTCCCGTAATATATCGTCGCAATGGTTTTCCTTATTAGATTTTTTACGTTCTTAGTTTCGGCTCAACTCGATTATTACTGGAATAAAAAATAACATAACATAACGTAACAGTTCGTCGGCCACTAAACGAATAAAACTAAAAGTATGAAGAAGATTTAATACTTGGTTAGGTAAAAAATTAAACAAGAAGTGGATACCTACGTATAGGTCTGTCTGAAATAAAAAATAAAAGAGTGAATAAATAAACAGAAATGAGAGAGAATGAATAAGGCACAAATACTGTTGCTGTAGAGGTTTGATGGATGGGATGCATGGCCGGGAAAAACGACTTAAAAAGTGTTGTATCCCTTTTCAAAAAAGGTTTACTCTGTTCGCCTGTTTATATTTTTTATATGTTCACCGATTTCTTAGTCAATTGTTGTTCGATTTTGATACTAGTTTTTGTTTGCGTATACTCTCGAGGGGTTAAAAGTCACCAGGGAACTCCTCAAAAGAAACAGAAAATGTTTTATTTATCTCCATTTACCATTTTTGTCTTTCCTTCTAGCCCTTATATTGCTGCAAAGGGAAACATTGCTATACATACAGTCTATGCTTTTATGATTTTATTATACCTTTTTTTATACCTTTTATAGCCTAAGTAGGATACATATACATTTTATTCTTAAACACTTTATTAACGTTGCGGTACATATTCTGATGATTCACAGTAATGTTTTTTAGTCTAACAGTTATGAGAGCATTGCCCAATTCCAATAATGCATCGTTTTTGTGCTGTTAACTTAATGTTACTAAAGCTCAAAATGTGCCGAATCTTGAGAACTTATGTTTTCGTATGTTTATTGTTTGACTCCGGGTTTTCTAGTAGATGCTTTAGGTACCCTTTTTTTCTCTTGTCTGGAGAATATTCGAGATGGTCAGGTCAATATAAGATTTCGTCTGGCGTTTGGGAACATAGGAATAGTAACCTGAAAACGTGGTGTTCGCAAAACTGGTATACAATATCAGAAGGGTATATGAATTTTATTTCGTGTACTGTTATAATATCGTCTATTCCATGATACGATCGCGAATTTTCTTAGTTTAAGGGCCGATGAACTTTAACGATATTTTTTCACAATTAATCTTTAATTTACTTACGCAGAATCATTTGAAGCAATGTGGCAGCATCTTGGAGCAATGCCCGCTACGCTGCGGAGCCTGGATACAAAGGAAACATAAGGACACACACGTCAAGGAGTGTCCACAAATGGACAAGGTATTCTTAACAAAACGGTGCTAATGCCAACTTATTAGAATAGTATTTGCAACTTCTAAAAATGTTATATCTTATTTATATATCTTTATATAAATTCTTCTGTACGAGTGTTTGTCACTAAACTCCTCAACGGCTGGAACGATTTTAATTAAAATTTTTGTGTGTTCAGGTGGATTCGAGAATGGTTTAAATTCACAAAGTTATTCAAAATGTTTGAAATCGATTTAAAACGTGTGTACAGGACAGCGTCTGTTAGGTCCGCTAGTTTTAATATATAGATAGTTAAATGAAACACAGACAGTCCGTCACGTCCTGTGATTATGAATGAAATCAAATTAAAACTGTGGTAGAGCCACGCAGCAGCCTCGGCTGTTGCACGAATGGGCAGGCTCGTCCGGGTAGGTGCCACGACCTCACAGAAGACCGGCGTCAAGTGGAAGTATAATCACTTTCGCGTTTCGTCTGTTGAGTGAGGTAGCCGGAGCCCAATATTCAAAAGGTTGTCAACGCATCTGCAACCCTCGGGTATAGCTGATGTCCATGCGTGGCGGTATTCACTTAACATCAGGTGAACCGCCCGCTCGTATGGCAACTATTCATATAAAAAAAAAAGCTGTCTCCATCGGTTTAGCTCCGTCGCCTGGTGGAGTGCGGCGCCTATGGGGATTTCTAGGTTTTCAGAAATTTGACCCACCCACTAGGATTACGGCCTCTAGGTGTTTTACCCTCCATTTTTCCGTATACATTGTTAGATAAAACTCATCGTTTACAAGTTTGCTTTCAATTATGCGAAAGCCAACGTAAATTCTCCAATCCTTTGTATTATGCTTGATCTTGGTGAGAATACCATGCAGTAATATTAAGAAATTTTAATGTCTCGGTTATCAGGTTAAAGGGAAGCACCACTCACTTTTATAAATTTAAGTAAATAATAAGTATTAACTATATTAATTATTATGCTTATAATTTTTATGATAAGTAAAATAACAATAACATAAAATTTAAATATATTTTCATATTCCATAATACTAGTCGTCTCTGAATTCGCAATTTCGTTTATTTCTTTTCACTGTCGGAATGCGATGGGTCGGGTCCCGGCTTGCAATTTCGCGAAGATAATTAAAAAGCATTAAAGCAATGAAATATGGTTGTCCGTCATGCTGTTATGCGAATGTTTCTTCTTATATGTCTGTACATTTTCGATCGTGGTGTATTGAACTTGACGGTGAAATGACTTTAGATTTGACTTGAGTGTAAATATTTTTAGATAATTTACAACGGAAATAAACGGAATTCATTAAACCAGTTAGGAAATGTAATTCTCTCGCTCCTTCTATTCAGGAACATAAGTAATAGGTATTGATATCTACTACGACCACGAACCAACTACGTCCCAAAAGTAAATTATTAAAGTGATAATACATAAAATGATTGTGTAACGAAATAAAACACTGTTACACATTTATAAATCTATTTAAGCTATTGATTTCTGTAAATTAATATTGCTACGGATTCTTGTCAAAGTTTTAACGTAATCGTGAAATTAATAATAATTTCGAAAATTAGGAATCACATTAGGCTTCAACAATAACAGGAAACGCTTAAAAATATCTTTTCGAATAAATAAATGCATCCGAGTTAAAATCGAAAACTTTCGTAGGTCATTCAAGGGCATTGAAACACAACACAGCCGAATACTGGTTTCAAATTCTAGGCAATACTAACATAAGCTATTTATCAGAAACAGTATCCTTACTAATATTATAAAGGCGAAAGTTTGTATGTATGGATGGATGTTTGTTACTCTTTCACGCAAAAATTACTGAATAGATATGAATGAAACTTTACAATAATATAGCTTATACATCAGAATAAGACATAGGCTATAATTTATATACATATTTTATGCATAATTATCTGTCTTTCTGTCTGAATGTTACGTCTTCAGCCTATTCTAGGCAGACGCAGTCGCGGGCAGCAGCTAGTATTAGATATGTATGTTCAATGTATGATGTAGATATGTATTACTGCGTACATTAACAGGAAACCGTTATTTCAAGACTATCTTGTAATTACTTAATAGAGTTAGCTAGAGTTGATTTAGCTGAATAGTGGTACCGTGATGTGCCTAACGGCTACGGCTCAGAAAACTGATGTTACGTAGAACTATTAATACTTTTGACCGAAGACTATCGAATAGTAAATCTATTAAAAGTGGTACATGAGCTTCATACAGTTTATCAACAGCAATTCATTGATTCATACAGTTTATCAACAGCAATTCATTGAAAATTAGTGGTTAGTAGAAATCCTGCTTCTTTTTTGACATCAGGAAAGTACGAATTATGACGTTATTATTGAGATTTGCGTGTAGAATAATTTCCGTAGACGAAAACCAGTTTATGCTGCGAGCTACTTGGAATTGAGCTTAGTAGCTTAGCTTAGTAGTGGTGGTGTAGTCACCACCACAATTTTTAGGAATCCGTACCCAAAGGGTAAAATGGGACCCTATTGCTAAGACTAAGACTCCGCTGTCTGTCTGTCTGTCCGTCTGTCACCAGGCTGTATCTCATGAACCCTGATAGTTAGAATTAATATTTTCACATAAAGATGTATTTCTGTTGCCGTTATAACAATAAATACTACAAAAAAACAGAATAAAAAATGTTTATGTGGCGATCTAACACAACAGACATGATTTTTTTGGCGTTTTTATAGATATTTCTACGGAACCCTACGTGCGTGAGTTCGACTCGCACTTGGCCAGTTTTTTAAATATAAATAAACTTACGTGTTGTTTGGCGTCATAAGCTGGTTCATTAATTTTAATTCATATTTGTTGCTTGATTATCATACGATTATAATGTAGGTTAATTATTTTTTTATTATTATTTGATATCTTTTACGATAGGCCCGGAACTCTGCGTCTCCTACTCATGCTAGAATATCCGATCCTTCACCACCAAAAGCGCCTGTCAGCAACCACACTTGGGCGCCAAGGTCTGTACCTCTAGAGGAATGCGTCACTTACCTCGAAAAAGAAGTTTCCGGTATCAAGTAAGTAACATTTCTTTTTTCATGTTATACTTTTCATGTCGTTTATAACTTTATATACAATTTTATTATTTGTTTTGAGATAGTATCAAAGGTATTTTTTTATTCTTCTTTACACATTGTCATAATGGTTGTTAAGATATTGGTTTCGGCGTCATTGATCCGATGTATTTGATGGACATATAGATTTGTCTACAGTTTATTAGTTTCGCTGTAAGGATATTTATATAAATTAGTCGAAAGTTACTTATTACATTAGATTTAATAATCAAAAGTAATTTCTGATCATTGCCAGACTTGTTCTGACCGAGGGGGCCGGCCATCGCGACCTCCATGCTGCGGAAATGGAGAACCTCCGGGCGAGGTTGGTCCTGGTCGAGGAGCGGAGCCAGCACTTCCTGTCCACTCTAGTGTCGCTGCGGGCTGCGGTAGACGACGAGGCCGAGAGGGCGGCAAACTGGGCGGCGCAGTTCAAACACGACCTAGCCAACGTCCAGTTGGCTTTGCAGGTGAGAGGGCAATGGCTGGATGTTTTTTTATGTGAAAATATGGCAAACGTGCTGGCGGTTCACCTGATGTTAACAGATAACCGCCGCCCATGGACATTTGCAACACCCGCAGGGATGCAAATGCATTGCTGCCTTTAAGTAAAGTGGGCCCCGACCCATTCATACAACAGTGGAAACTGTTGCGTGGCCCTTCCACAGTTTATTTTGGGGGATGAATTTCCTTCACGAGAACTGGCCATTAATATTATGATGCGAAATGAAGACGCCAATAAATTGGCTTTGGCATTATCCATAGTCCATAGCACTCCTGAGGCTAATCTTTGATCTGGACAGAGAAGCGCTTAGTACGGGAAAGGAGATGTCAGCTCAACCAATCAGTATGTCTGTACTAACTGGTTTTGCAGGTGTAGGGGATATTTTTGTTTTTTTTTTTCTATTGTTTAGAGAACGAATTGGTAAGTACTTTCTTGGTTAAGACGTGTTAGATAGTGATCTTGTGCTAGTATGATTCAAAACAAATGTAACTCGGTGATTGAAGAGTGGATTGCCTTGAAAATAAAAAAGAAAGGAAACTACAATATCACCAAATGAATTTGCATTAATAATTTTATATGAAAACATGTTTAGGCTAGCCACATTATGTGATATTCTTTTTCGTGACATAAAAAAACTAAATCTTGCCTGGTTTAGTCTCTGATGGCGGAGGCCATTGCTGTTTACTTTGTTCGAAGCCTATATTTGACATAGTTCTTAGGCACACAGTAACGTTTGCACTTAAGTTAAAATATAACTAGTGTTATTGGTCGCGGTCCAACACAATATCGATGCAAATTGGAATTATTCATTCTATTGGTTTTCACGTAATAATTTAAAATCCTACTCGGAGACTGATTCTTAGGGTCAGGTACCTGTATTTGTTCGCTACGCTTTCTCGTTTAAGAATTGACCGCTCTAAGATAAGCTATAAGAGACAGTCTTATTAGCGCGGCAATCCTTGTAAATATTAATATTAGTAGTATTTTCGTCCGTGAAGTCAACCTTAGGCTCCATTTGAAAAACAGCGCTGTAGTACAAATAGAACTGCAGCATTTTGCTGAAATGAAGTTCCTATTTGATGTCACAATTTTTCTGTTTATGTTTTGAATATGTATGTATAAAGAGATTTTCTTTCTTACTTTCTTCTTTCTTTGTATATTTCCCACAGGAGCTTCAAAGCCAACAGCTGTCCACCGTCATGCGGCTCGAGAGTACCGTCAGCAGCCTCGTTCACGAGCAGAACGAGAGGGAACTGATGGAGCAGGCGTTGACGCTACACGACAACAGAATCCGTGCCGTCGGCAAGCTGGGTAAGACATCTAACAACAATAAATTAAGCTGGTGCAACAATAGTACCAAATGTCGTGACTTTTTAATTATATCCACGTTTCATCACCTTGTTTATAGTCCAAAAGGTGACTGGCCTTAAGCCTTGTCGTTTAGTGATTTTTTTGCGTGACATAATCGAAACAAGAGTGCCGAAAGGATTTCAACCTGATCCTTGCTGTGCAAGTGACCCAAGCTAATGGGCCCGAAGGGGCTGATTATTTTTAAAACTGGGGTCCGATATCATTGTATGCAATATCTTCTATGGAAACCTGTGTATTTGATCTGTCTTTGACAAGGATTAGTCCACGGAATCACCAATTATATTTAATGGCCTGATTATCTTCATTGATTGGGACTTTAACGGGGAACTCAAATATTATATATAATATCTTTATACATAATTCAAGAAGTTTAAAATAAACGTAATGAAAACTGTAAAATAGTTTACTGTAATAATGGAGAACTGGTCGTCCATAGACCTTGAAACATTCTCAGTAGCTGCCTAAAAGGATATGAAACATGGGTTAGTATCATCATACTCGTCCACCGTATTAAGATTTTAGTACTGAGATGAGAGAGAGTAAGACAACACAGGATAATCTCTAGTCCTAAGTTGGGGCAATGTCTTTTTTTAAAGAAAAGTAATATAAAAAATAAGAAGGAGATAAAATTAAATACATATTACTCTTATTTAGAGATACAGAATTATAAATATAGTGATATTGTTTTTGTTACATTCTGTTTTTGTTACTTTTCGTTGCATTTATTTTATCGCCAAACGTTTTATACAGAATTTCATCGATGATAATATATATCGAGAGGTAAACCTTGGTTCAAGGTATTTAGGCGATATGCCTTATCATAAATTCTCAGCAAAAATGTTTATCTTATTGAAGAAAGTCATAACATACTTATAAAATGTATATGTACATAAAACATTAATATGAATTTTGTATGAACATTGATAAATGAATGACATAAACCTCGACTCTTATGAAAACACGGAAAATAATAACTATGTAATATATTAACTTATAATTATTTCTTTGACACAAAATAAAGAATAGAAAAATATTCAAAGAGAATAGCAATTAAACATAATTTTCTATACTTATCTAAAGCTAGTTTACAATTATTTAAAAAAAAAGCATTCAATTTTACTCATATTTTTTTTTAAATATAGGCACATTTTCGTTTCTTTGAATGTTTTTAATTTTCAGTCGTAACATAAACTTATTTTTTCACATTAATAACTTGATTGGAAAACATTTGTGATTTGACGAATCAAGAAAGCAAATAGAGACATTGTTTGAAGGCGAGAACAGATTTTGCGTGCTTTTTAGTATTCCCAGACATCCTTTAAGCATCAAGATAAATCTTTTGTCAACATCACAATTACTATAATTATTATAAACATTATTTCCCCTTGTTTCAATACAATATTTTCTCGCTGTGGGATTATATCATCCTATAGACGTTATAAAAATAAAAGTAACCAAACAATTAACAATTATATTACGAGTAGGACATACAAATACTTTTCTTTATTAGTAATCGAACGCACACTACGGAAGTAAATAAGAAAAGTTTAAGCCGAAAACTGCAACGATAAGCTAATCTTAAAGAGTTATTTCGCTTTTCTTTCAGAAGAAGTAGTAGACTATATAAAGAGGGTAGTTGAGGAAGAGAGGGAGAGGAACGCGGAGAACAGGGCAGCTTTGGAAGCAGAGCTCATAGAAGCGCGACGCTCATCGGAGCAGCTCGCCAACTTGGCCGCTTTGAGGGTGCAGCTCGAGAGCACGGCATCTCCTGAGAGGCCGGTAAGGAAATAGGCTGTTTCCTTCATCCATAGCCAGATATCCAGAGTCCTTTAGCCCCGTGTCCGGGTGCTCCCCTTTAATCCTTACTTCCTTACTAATATTATAAACGCGAAAGTATGTATGGATGGATGTTTTTTAATCTTTCAAGCAAAAACTACTTGATAGATTTTAATGAATCTTTACAATAATATAAGCTTATACATCAGAAAAACACGTAGGCTATAATTTATACAGATATTGTGCGAATTGTCTAAAATATAGGTAATGATATGTGTCAACAAAGTAGGAAAAAATTCGGCCATCTGTGAGGAAAAAATAAAGAACTCATTGTTAATTCCCTATGGCCGCGCGAGCAAAGCCGCGGTTAACAGCTAGTGCTATATAAGTATTGGCTGTCGCCGTAACTCATTCTAGATTTAGTGCTCATTTGCTTCAGTTTTTTTTTTATAGGATGAGCCACTGTTGGCCTTAGAGGCCTTTACAGATCGGACGGACATGAGGTTGCCGGGCACTCGGGGCGCCGAGCCTGAACCTCGGCGTATTATTATTACGCGTTAAGGTGACTAAGCTCGATGGCTCCCGAGGGAGCCGCGGCTCGGGCCATCACGCTATTATTATCACCGGTTTGGGAGGCCGCCAAGCTCTTAGGGCGCTTTGGTGGACGCTCCATGGAGTGATCAGGGTCAAGGGACCTCGGCTCGGCTCACTCAAAACGCGTTTAGCATTCCGATTCGAGGGTGCCCGAGAAGTTCGAGGGTGCCCGAGAGCTTCGAGGGTGTCCGAGAGTCTTCAGTTTTGATATAATAGTTTATTTAATCAGGCCCTAGATAGAGTAGCGGTGTTAGAAGTTGCGACTGCTGACGCGCGAGCCGAGGCGGCGGAACACTCGGCCAGGATGGACACCATCTCGCGGGACCTTCGCGCCTTGACCAAGTCCTACCACAAGATAAGAAGCGAGATCGTGGACTTCCAAGCGAGGATTAGCTTCAGCAACCCGGAGCTAGGCAGCGACGATGGTATACTATACTATGTCCTATTTAGTGACTTAAATGCCCTATGCATTAACGATTTAAATGGCCATTTAGAGTCATCATTACGTCGTTCATAGGGGCATGATACAATCATAAACTGTATTAAGATGTTTTAACTTCAACTTCGTAAGGGATCGGTGTTTGTTCCGAAGGAGGGTTGACGCAAGGGGCCGGTAAAAAACTAAGCCAAAGCCACTTACAACTTACACGATGTGCCGACACCACCTTTTATTTTGGTATTGGGGGGGGGGGGGGGGAAGGGAATCTTTAAAAGATCCACACGGTTTTGTGGGGTTCGTACCCACTCAGTGACCACCTTCTATACGTTTTGAAGAACTTCAGGATCTCCAATGTCCCTCAGTACTGCGCATGAGGATTATCATGACTAATATAGTGCTTAGCAAATGGGCGATGTTTTAATTAAAGTTTGGACCGTTTGCAGGCCGCTTCATATGGAGGATAGACAATTTCTTGTCCAGAATGAAGGAAGCTAAAGAGAAGGACACTGTACTCACCAGTCCCCATTTCCGCTCCAGCAAATATGGATACACCCTTAAGGTACTTGTATAGCGCTAAAGCCTCTGTAACTATTAAATATTAAAAACCGGACAGGCAGCAGCTTTGGCGGTTGCACATTAGCAGGCTCGTTTGGTGAAATACGAATACCTCACAGAAGGTTCATGTGATAGATAGACAGTTGAAATTATCACAGATGTGAAACACCTTTCATGAGATATATAGCCTGGTGATAGACGAACACACAGACAGATATACAGCGAAGTTTCAGTAATAGGGTCCCGTTTTACCCTTTAGGCACGGAAACCTAAAAAGCCGACTCAAATTCAAAATGCACTTTACAGGCGGAGGTGAAGCTCAACGGAATTGGAAAGTGGAGGGGCAAGCACATTACAAGCACGGTGCGATTAGTAGCGGGACCTTACGACCCCTTGTTGGAGTGGCCGTGCGACCTCAGCATCAATATAGTCCTCAAGGACCAGCCCGCCAAAAGGAGCCAGGTAGGCGGGAATCAATTCTTTTATTTATTTTTTTACTAGCTGCTGCCCGTGACTACGTCTGCGTAGAATAGGCTGAAGGCGTAACATTCAGACAGAAAGACAGATATACATAAAATATCTATATAAATTATAGCCTATGTTTTAATCTGATGTATAAAGTATATTATTGTAAAGTTTCATTAAAATACATTCAGTAGTATTTGCGTGAAAGAGTAACATCCATCCATACATACAAACTGTCGCGTTTATAATGTTAGTAAGGAAGGATTTTATGTGAGAAGGAGACAAGGGAGCTTGTGGTTCACCTGACCGTTTTGCGACACCCCTTTTAATAAATTGATACACCTTTTAATAAAGTGGGTCCAGGCTATCTCCCATCAGAAGAAACGCAGAAGTATAACACTTCCACGTAACGCTTGCATCTTCTCTTCTCTTTGCAACAGCGAAGTGTTGCGTGGCCCTACCAGTCTGCGGATATTATTTAGGTATGACGAATTCGTGTAAGGTCTTATGGCGCAGAGTACAGAATCACAGAGGAGGCTTTACTTCAAAAGCATTTGAAACGCAAGAAATTATCAAATCAAAAATGCGTTTCGCGTTTGACGGCGACCGTAATTTGTAATGTCGATGAATTTACCAAGTTTGAGATGTAATGAACGAAAACATGGAACGTAAGATGGAGATATGAGTAAATGGTTTTTTGAAGAATCTAATTTAAAGTATCGATTATCATTGTAGGGGGTCTAGCTGACGTTGAATTTGGGACCGTGTCTTCGACATAATTATCTATTAAACGCATGGTCTAAAAGTCAAAGTCATGCCATAATATTCCAAATATTTATACGCCCCGTTAAGGGTAAAGAAGTAAAAAAAATGTATTTCTTTGTAAAAAGAACCTATCGCACGTGCCATTTGCAGGCGATGGACATAGTGAAAACACTGCAGCTCCGTCGCAAGTCCTCGTCGAGGCAGCACGATTACGAAGAGGACAACGAGGAGAAGACCAGGTCCACAGAGAACCTGGATATGAACGTGGTGCAGATGAAGAGGCAGTACATCTTCATACCGCACACGAGCCTCGACAAGTTCGAGTATATTAAGAACGACGTCATGTTCATGGAATTTATCGTCAATCAGTAGTTTCGATAACGATTCATTTACACCTAAGCTGATGGGTTACTTTGTGTGATAGGGGTTGCAAGAGTGAATAGGTTTTTACTGAGCTAGCATCAACGGCTGCATTCTTTATTTACTTACCATCAGGTGAGATGGCAGTCAAGTGCTGATCAGTTAATTAAATAAAAAAGGGGTTACTACCCAATTAACCCAAGTCTCAAGGACCACTGTGACCAACCTAGATTGTCGTCTCCCCTTCTAACACACAGCCACCTTATTGTGGGGTAACATTATCCTGTGTTCTAAGGACGTTTACATACGTAAATTTCACGTGGACAGACATCCAGATCCGAAACCATCATCTGTAACTGACACAAATACTTGTCTCGTGTGGGAATCGAACCCACGACCCTCGGCAGCGTAGCCGATACATTGGTGACTGCGCCACGAAGTCAAGCTGATGGGTTAACGTCTCTTAGATCGGGTGACCAAACACCTAAGTATTTCCACACTGCAAAGTATTCGAGTTAATGTCTGGCGGCGGCATTTACCTCTTTTCTTACGTCGCGGGCAACCGGTGGATGCAAATGGCAACGTGTCGTTCGTTGTGGCGTTCTAAGTTGGAAGTTTATTATTAAAATATGATACGTCGTGTTATGACGGTGGTTAGTTCGGTGCTGATCCGATGTACTGAAATCGATTCCCGCAAACGAGTATTTTTACGAATTAAAATCGATGTGGTCTAAACGCCCACGTAGCTTTGTTTTATGCGACAAAATTATAAAAAGAACCAACATGACAAATTTAACTTTTCCCACTTTAATGTTGACATATTTATTACGTCTTACAACTTTATTTCTTTAACAGTTTAACACATTAAATGTATAAGAAAATAAAATTGTTACACTAAACATGGTTTTATTAACGCTCGAAATAATTCTAGTATAGGAGCACTTATGTTATATTTTAAAATATTTTGTATGATCGAAATTGTGATAGGAAAAAATAAAAGAAGATATTTGAATACATACATATTTTATTTGTCACATGTTATTATGCCATACTTGTATTAATAAAAAAACTCATTTAATGAGGTAACTTATACATCACACACAATACTGGCAATACCAGGAATATTTAAGTTAATACATGGAAAGGACCTTAATCTAATGACTAAATGTTCGTTACAAATTTATTCTACCATAAAACAGGGGTAGTCAACCTTTCTTACTTAACTAGTCTAAGTTTACTTGAAATATAATATACCATACCTATTCGTTTACAGAAACCATATATTGGTATTTGTTGCATTAATGTGCGTTTGAGTTTGAATTAAAAGTTAAAAAATTGTACGAAAAGTTTTGTATTACGTGCTATTTTCAAACGATATTTTCAAAATGTATATACTTCATATACTATTTTGTATATATTTTAAAAATCCCTAAAAAAGCACTAGATATGACGTGATTTGGTATTAGTTGTATGGGAGTTAAGGACTTTGTTAGGGCCACGCAACAGTCTTCAATGTGTCGCAGTACGATTGGCCAGGCCGTCCGGGTAAGTACCACGTTAGCGTAACACCTCTGCGTTTCGTCTGGCTAGTGAGGTAGCCGGGGCACACTTTATTACGTGGCAACGCATCTGCAACCCTAAGCTGAGGCGGCGGATATCACTTAGCATCAGGTGAAATGCCACCTTTTCACATAAAAAAAAGTTGAAATGAAAATTGTTTTCATATTGATAACAGTCATTAATGCCTACACCTGGGACGCCCACATGTCGGAAGTTGGATTGGGCAGTCGGCAGGTTGACCACCTCTGATACAAAAGATTATTGCAGCGATCCTACGTACGGACGCATTTTAATAGACATAAAAACACCAACAATCAAGTTTGCTTAAATACGTATCATTCGATACTCAGAAAGCACTTACATTAAAATGACTACAAAAACGGTTACTTTGGGACCTACGGATTCAGGTGATAAACCTGTCAACAAATCCGCTCACGAGCTTGACATATACCGTGAAAATACGACAAGCCGACCACTAAGTCTTCGAGAAATCAAAAGCCTGTTTCTTATTCGTCAGCCCGCCTCGCCTTGTAATGAAAGAGGCATATTCCTGAAAGCAAGGCACAAGTGTTACTTTATTAATTACAGGCATTTTTTTATGACCGTTACCCATCTAGCGGGAGACAAAAAGATGGACGCCAAATTAATACTTACAAAAGAAACCCCTTGCGTATTATGTTACAAGACTTGTATATCAGTGTTTATCGCTTTTAGTTCTGTACAAAATGCTTCCTCAAACAACTTTTTGGGGAAATTTTAGCTGAAACACTTAGTAGCCTCCAACGTTATCCGGTTCGAAGGACCGGAAATCTTGTCGGTTATTATAGTAGTTTATTTTTATTATTATTATTAAAAAAATATATATACAAACATATAAGCTTACATTGCCATTCTCGCTTTACGTTTCACGACGAGACGCGCCATCATTTATCGACAAGGTGTCTACTTACCTCGAAATGCCGGCGCCAGGGTGCGGTCGTTTAGAGCAGCGACTTGTACTCGGCGAGGTATTGCTCCTCCTCCAAGAGTGAGGTATCCAGGTAGTCGTCCTCGTCAGTGCGGATGGCTTTCGACAGCCGCTGGAGCGCCAAGTCCCGCTCCTTCCTCCTGTGGCATGAGGGAGAGATTGCCTTACGAACTGCGCAGAGATTCGTTAATTTGTTTGCCTTTCTGATAATTGGCACACTTTCACTTCAGGTTTGGTTTCTTCTTCGTAGCACGCTTTAATTTATAAAAAATTGGGTATGTGATAAAAAGATATACTATATGTATATAGGTATAGAAAATACAAGGTACAAAGGTTTAGGGTTTAATAAAAATGTTAGATATGATTATTGTCAGACAAATATGGTTAATTATCGTTAAAGGTTTCAATTTAGTTTGCAACATATACAGGGTGGCTTTTTTGTGGCACAAAGGTGCCCAAATTCACACAGGAGGTTCAGACTCGGTAGTATAATCGTTTATTGAAATAAAAACAAACTTTTTTTTTTCAAACAAAAAATGCAATTCTACTAGCTAAAACACATAATTCTATTGCCTAAAAAACAGAACTTGTTGACAATGCGGTAGTCATTCATAAATGCGTCGTATACTTTTGAAACGAACCTCTGTGCGTGTTAGTTGTGAATGATCGCGCTTAAAATAAATGAGTTGCCCATAAATCACGCACTTTTTGAGATAAGTTCAAATGAATGTAATTAATTAATTAAGAGTGATTTTAAATATTTATCATTTTTTATATAACATTATTTATGTCTAGAATTTAATAAAAAAATGGATACAGTTAGAAAAGCCTCCCTGTATAATGATATTTTTCTTATTAGGCTTGGAATAAAATTTTTAGTTCTTTTATTAACAAGAACATAGTAAAACGGTTGTTTTTAAAAGTTTTTTTTTCGTTTTTATACTAACCTACCACGTCTCAGGCTGTCGGGTTTTCCGTTTCATTAAATAATTTGTTCTTTATGGCAACTCGTAAAAAATCATAAGTTTATTTTATTGTGGTCATATTACTAAAGTACATATACATTTTTATATTGTAAATTTTTGTAGATAAATGAACAAACTTTTTTCATGTGAAAAATTGCCAAGCGAGCAGACGAATCACCTGGTGTTTTTATTTTATTTTTGTTAAGTGAATACCGCCGCCCATGGACATCTGCTACACCCGAAGGTTGCAGATGTGTTGACAAACTTTTGATAATTGGCCTCCGGCTACCTCACTCACCAGACGAAACGCGAAAGTATTTGTCATACTTCCACTTACTTTACGCTGGGTTTCTGTAAGGTCGTGGTACTTATCTGGACGGACCTGCCCATTCGTGCAACAGCCGAGGCTGCTGCGTGGGTAAACTGTCCTTTACAGCATGCAACACCTTACAAATAACATTCAACGATGAATGTTTGTAACGAGAGATGTCGCCATATATATAGATATATTTTTCAACCTACTTTATCTCTCGCTCCTGTTTCAATTTCGAGCGCGCCGCCCCACCGCTGCTGGTCGATGGTTTCGCGGCGTCATCATCTGTGGAGAGTTTCCAATAAACGTGTCATTTCAATGACGTGTTTATATCAGAGACTGGTCACATTTTTATATTTGAGTAGGTGGCAAGCGAGCTGGCGGTTCACCTGATGTTAACTGATAACCGTCACCCATTGACATTTGCAACACACGAAGGGTTGCAGTTGCGTTGCCACCTTTTGACAAAGTGGACCCCGGCTACCTCACACCAGACGAAACGCAGAAGTATAACGCTTTCGCTTCACTCCGGCCTTCAGTGAGGTCGTGGTACCGCCCCGGACGTAGCTGCCGATTCGTGCAACAGAGGAGACTGTTGCATGGCCCTGCCACTGACAATTATTTACACAATTCATCATTCTTCTGTTCTTATCCCACCAAGCTGGGGTCGGCACAACATGTGAATAATGTTGTAAGCGGTTTTGCCCACGTTTTCTACGACCGGCCGCCTGCCCGACGTCAACCCTCCTTGGGAGACAAACGCACAGATCCGGAACAATTATCTGTACCACGAAGTCATCATAAACTTTGAATTACTTCTCTTGCATGTTGCTGTTGCGATGTCAATCTGGTCCTTTTAGCCGGACAATTGTGCCGGATTATCGGGGGCGCCGTTGCTATGGTATTGCCTTCGGCTTCTGGGGTCGTGGGTTCGATTCCCACACGGGACAACTATTTGTGTGACCCACAGATAGTTATTTCGACTTGGGTGTTTGTCCGCGTCAAATTTATGTTTGTAAAATGTCCTTACAACACAGGATAATGTTATCCTAAAGTAAGGGCAAATGTTTTTTTTTTAAAAAGCACCTGAGAATGGATCTTCCTTGGCCATCAGCATCTCGACGGCTGTCTCCACGTGGTAGTTGCACATTTTGAGCACAGCCTTCACCTCCTCAATGTTGTAGCCCATGGACTCCAGCTGTTGACGAGTGACAGAACAGAATAACTATTTATGGCATTCATTTCTCGGCCGATGATTCTAATAGATACACTCGATGACACGTAGGCGCAGTTCGTGTCTTGGGTTCGATTCCCATGCAGAACAAGTGTTAGGGTGAGATACAAAATGATTTGTTGATCACGCGTATACTGGCACCGAGTGGGAAGAGAATCCACGTCCCCTAGTGTCGAAGCCAATATTTTGGCAACTGTGACACCGAGACATTTGTATAAGATTAATGTAATAGTAATAATGAACCGTCTGTTTGACTAAATTTGTGCACGGAAAAAAATATAAATGAAGTAAGAGAAAAGGAAATAAAAACAACAGTTATCCAGAAAAAGTACCATACCTCTGATATTCTGTACTACTCAGAAATAGTTTCTATTAAAGAACTCAAGATAGGAACACAAAATATTGATGCACTTAGGATTTTTCAAAACACTAGGATGTTTTATATGCGATTGCTGTATTAGATGTCACCTTTGACTTTTTACATGTAAAATCACTCGAAGACCAGATATTACGAATTGGAGGAGGCAAGTCTTTGAAATGTTTAGACAAAGCAAACTTAAAGCTACAATGATGTTAAATAATATAGATGACGCTGCTAAATAATATGGACATCCATATTGTGCGGCGTTTAAAAATGTTCCGCTTTACATTGGCTGCGTTCCACTAAGCGCCCACAACGATCAAAATGCCCCTTTGGTCGTTCCACATAACGACCGCCGGTCGTTGTGGTCGCGGCCAAAACGTCACTTATGACGTCATGACTAACGCTCACGCGAAGCTCACGGCGACCCATCTAAAAAGGTGGGTAGAAGTGATCGTTGAGAAAATTAGCGGCATTTTCAAAATTCTAAATGTCTAAGTTCAAAGTGTCACCGCAAAAGACATTTTAATTACATTTGAACGTAAATTAATTAAATACACCACTAATATTAAATATAAAAAGTTAAATTATATTTTTTTTTTTCAATATAAATCGGTTTAAACAATAATTATTTAACATTAAAATAATTGCAAAGATAAGCACTATAAACAATTTAAATTTCTAAAAAAATAATTATTTAAGTTTATTTTCAAGGCTTACAGATTATAACCTAACCTCTTAAATAAAAGATTTGCTTCCTTTTTTCTATTTCGCCGCTTGTATTATTTACCTCGACGCTCAAAACGCTCTATAATCCATTCCACTTGAGTTTACGGCAGTAACGCTAACAGTAATAACAAGCAAGTGGAACGGGAATAACTGCGGTCGTGAGCGTGATCGTTGTGGGCGCTTAGTGGAACGCAGCCATTATGAACGTGACAGACGATATGTTCTCTACGGAAAGAGATAGCAGTCTAAAAATGAATTGAATTGCAATTTAATTGGCGTAATTTGAGTGCCTCATTCTCTGTATGTTAGTGTCATATCTAGTTTATATTTATATCTTTGAAAAGCTATTATTGTTGAACAATAGTAAAGTTACCTCGGCCACCAGTTTCTGGTCGATCTGGGCAGGGGGCGCCTCCTCGGAGCTGCCGGTGCTGCTGCCCGAGCCCAGGGCGTCTTCGAGCTGGGGAGAGGGGTTGGGGTTCCAAACGGGCTGAGCTGATCCGAGATGGTGGACAGTGTGAATGTCGTCGTCTGTCACTTCTACGTGTCGTAGCTAAATTGCCTATGGTTACCTGTGTGAACTATATCAGGAAACATTTTTTACACAACTTTCTTTGCTCCCAAACTTTGCAACGCTTTTACTATGGGTACTAGATAAGTGATAAACATACTTTTCTTTTGTAGTAAATACATATTATAAATATATAAATACCTAGGCACTGAATAAAAACGGTATGTTCAGCACACAATATTTCTCCAGTAGTGGGGATCGAACTCACACCCTCTGGTCCAACAGGCAGGGTCACAGGTGGTTGCATCCAAGGATTAAAGATATCCTGATCCATAGGTTTGATTTCTAAGATTAACAAACTGACACACAGATATACAAACAGACGCACAGACACACAGATAGACACAAAGACACACAGCCACACATACAGATACGCAAACAGAGACATAGATACACAGACAGACACAGAGATACACAGACAGACAGATGCACAGGCAAACAGACACACACATACACCGACAGAGTGAAACAGTCGGGGCTCACCAGCTCGACGCGCTGCTGCAGCGTGGTGACGGCGTCCGCCACGCTGTTGTTGGCGAGGCGGAGGGCTCGCACCGCCCTGCCTCTAGGGAAGCCCATCTCCACGAGGGAGCGCACCCCCGAGGGGTCCACGGGCGTGCCGTCGGCGCACTCGCCCAGCAGGCGGAGCTGTCTGGAAGACTAGAGCTCAATCCAGCATGCTTGGACAACCCGAGTCCTCCAATCTGCATAGGGGTCGCGTGGTGGACTACGCCCCAATACCCCCAGCAGTGGGACATGTATAGGCTGTTACTTTGTCGCTCACCTCTCGCGGCGGTGGCGCTCGCGAGCCTGGGCGCGCTGCTCCGCCAGCGCCGCTAGCTGGAGGTGCGCCCGATCTGGGTCCCCTGCGGCCCCGCGGAGACCCAGCCGCGCCTGGGTCCGGGACCAGCCGAGCTCCATCAACCGGCCCACGGCCTCCTCGTCCACCTGACGTCGTCATCATTACCCATCTGATACAGGCTTGCTGATGACCAGCCCTGTAGCCCCGGGTTCATAGAATACGGCTAAGATACAAAATGCCTGTCGTAAAAGGCGACTAGAAGGGGACAGACTGACAGCAGTACGAAGTGGTATCGACAACTCGACGTTAACCGGCTCACGTCAATCTGATACGTTCCATCATCATTAGCCATCCATCGAGACAGATACTGCAGCCTTACTGGTGACACGAATCACCAACTCACCGCGAGCCTCACGGGAGGCCGTTGTGAAATCGAAGCATTTATACGGTTGTGAAGAGGTAAGCCTGACTTTGACATTTATCGCGCCCTTAAAAAGTTTGGCCTTCTCAAAGCAAATGAATTCTTCCATAACTGGCTACTTCTTGGCCAATTTTTCCGCTCCAAAAGAAGAATGTTGGAGGTGAAAGAACGAAACAGTGTACAAATTTCGTTCATGTTAGTTTGTTTTTTGTTTCATGCCGGTTTGAATACAGGAATTTCATGTTTGAATTGAAATTTATCCCAGTTTGAATACGGGAATTCCAAAATTGTCACTGGCACACGCTGCCAAACCCTGCTAGACCCGAGACGTTACAAAATGGTTACCCTCAACGTGTTCAACTCAGACTCCGCCTTCTCCAGCAACGACCTCGCCTCCGCTCTCCTGTTCTGGTGGAAGGCCACGATCCCTTGCAGCAGGTACAGCCTCATCAATAGCACCCGTTCGTTGGCTGGAACAGAAACGTTAATTAACACCCAAAGTACTACCATCTTTTCTTTTTATTAAAAAAAAAATTGACAACTATTAAAGCTGTAAGGTTACAGCTGTGATCAACATTTTCATATTTCATTTTTTTATGTGAGAAGTTGCCAAACGAGCTGGCGGTTCACCTGATGTTAAGCGATTGCCACGGCCTATTGACATTTGCAACACCGGTAGGGTTGTAGTTGCGCTGCCACCTTTTAATAAAGTGGGCCTCGGCTACCTCACTCACCAGACGAAACGCACAAGAGTGACACTTCCACTTCAAGCCTGCCTTCTGTGAGGTCGTGGTAATAACCCGGACGGACCTGCCCATTCTTGCAACAGCGAAGACTGTTGCGTGACCCCACCACTGGTGACCCATAGCAGACATCTCCAGTAGGGGACCTGTGCTGACGTCACGTGGCACCGATACTGACCTGCAGTGCCCTTGACCTGCAACAGCCGCTGCTGGTCCCTGCCGTAGCTGTTGCTGAGGGCCCGCTCGGCGGCCTCCAGGCGCCTAGCAGCGTCAGCGGCCCCGCCTACGCTGCGTAGCCCCGCGTAGCACCACGCTATGTCCAACTGCAGGATGCCCCAGTTGTCCACGGTCTGCAGGAGCGAGGATCGGCACTCGCTGGGGACGAAACGGTCACACGCTCTAATCTCTGATGTTTGCAGGGTACGAGGCACTCGTAGAAACTGAGTATTCTTAGCTATATCTGGGCACCACTAGAGTATTTTTTTATGTGGGAAGGTGGAAGTTCGCAAGCTCGCTGGAGATTTGCCACCCCAACACCCGTAGGGTTGCAGATGCGTTGCCATCTTATAATAAAGTAAATAAACCCTAAAGTTAGTTCAAATGATGACTCGGTGAATACCGCATGCTGATTCTAAACCTCACACAAAAGAAAAGAAAAGAAATAAGTAAGAATAGTTCAGGTAGAATCATCTGCAATAGTAAAAATCTTCAAACATGACACTTGGCATGAGAGGTCAATATCTACGTTGAAAAAACAAGATACAAAAGTGGATAAAAAAGGTAAGGCTATATACAAACAAACCCTATATACAAAGGTAAGCTTAACTGGTAATGTTCTCTGCCAGCTTAACTGGTGAGAAAAACATGTGATTGAAGGTAGCTGGAAATGTATTTATTGAGCCGAGCCGTATTATTTATCGATTAAAACGATTCTGTCCATAACATCAATCATCCGACTATATATAATAGAAACAATCGTGTGGACTCTTGTATCAGGCGTGAACAAAATCTGGCCTACCTGAACTGCCTGTCTGCTTCTAGAAGCAAGATCAGGGCTAGGGAGTAGTCCTTCTGCTTGATGGCGGCACGTCCGCGCTCATGTAGAGCCAGCCCCACCAGCAAAGATTTCCTCTCCGCTTTTGGGAGCTCAACGGTCTTGCCAGACTGGTCCTCCAACTGGAAACAGAGCGGGAATGAAATGTCTGCGCTACGTTAGTAAAAAGCGTTATGCCTCTCCTCCATTCAACTATCGGCGGCTTGCTAGCTGACTCAACAATGTTTGTGGGGGAAATTTAATTCTTATTACGACTGCTTCATTTTTAATTTTTCATTAATATTATTTTATTATTCTATGAAATTATAATTCCTATCTCATAAATCTAATTATTTCTTTTTAGCTTATCATTTGTTAACTAATGTTTTACATGAAGCGCACTCTGGCTTCCAAGATATAGGCACTGCCTGGTTTAGAAGTCACAGTGTAATCCATATTCTCTTATTGTTACTTACCCTTATTAAATATAAACGGTCTGTCTAAATTGTTCTTACTATAGAAATAAATAAATTTATTATAATTAATTCATTATACCTGTTATTTCACACATAACATAGAGCAAAAGGAATCTTTATGTAGTACTGAATGTATATAGGGGTTTGCAACTCTCAGTTCTCTTAGATATTTCGAACACATTAAAGTCTCCATGCTCATATTAATTACAAAAACAAAATGTTGTTTATCATAATTAATAATTACCTTGATGTATTCATCACCATCTGCCACCTTATTGACATACTCTGACAGCAGAGTGGCATCGTCACGCGTTGTTTTCATCTGGTTGTACATGTCCTCCTCTTTTCTAACTTCCTCCGGGGTTGCTGAAAACATTAACACTAATTTAATGATAATATCCAAAAAGCTCTACTTTTACTGATTCTGCGATTGACTTTCCTTATTATGCAGTGATTAAAATTTGTCTCATTAGCAGAAAAAGGCTATAAGCCCTTCTGTTTAAAATGAATTTAGAAAAGGGTATAATAAAGTCACTATAATATCTATATTTTATCTATATAATATCTATTTTTATTTGCAAATAGGAGCCATGATAGCTCAGTGTCCAGGCGCTCACATTTAATTCAATATACTTGAGCAACCTGAGTTCGATCCCTGGTGCCGGTAACATGAATGAATTTGTGATTTTAATGAAATTCAATGAAATTGTTAATTTTAAGTGCCGAATTATCACGTACTCAGCAGTGAAGGAAAATCCTGAGGAAACCTGCATATTTTCGAAATAATAACAAAAAAAAATTATTTCGAAGATATTTGAAGTCCGCCAATCCGCAGTGGGGCCGCGTGGTGGACTATGCCCTGATACCCTCTGTATAGAGGAGGCCTTTGCCCAGCAGTGGGACATGTATAGGCTGATACTATAAATTATAAAAAAATATACCTTGAATGATATTGACAACACTGTAGATTGAGTTACAAAACTTTTAGATTGTTTTTATATATATGTGACTTTCATACATGTATCAAAACACTCACTGTCTAACACTAAAGCCATTAGTAGTGTTCCATTTTTGAGATTCTGCTCCATGAGGCTCAAATTAGGCTTTATTATTTTTCCATTACAGATAATTTTCAACCTGTAAGTAAAGAAAAATAAAATTGTTAAAATAAGTCTATGAGTAATAAATATTGTATTAATGGTCTTACATATAACACAGATTACTTTTATAAAGAAATGTTTAAGCAAGGAATATAAAATAGTGTTTATATGAGGATTCTTGATGTTAATAATGTAAAGATCTAAAAATCTACAGAACCTATTATAACAATCAATAAAGGAATTAACGGTAGAATAGAGTACAACAATTGAAATTATAATAATACTTCCAAACCTAAATGAAATCTTTGCCTATTTGTAGTTTATTACTTTCATAGAGAACTGTACATTTATCTACAGATCATAGATGTTAGTATTGCCAATAGTACCTGGATTCTTCTATTCCTACTTCAGTGGCAACAGCGCTTATCAGATCTGAGCCTGGACTTGTCAACATCTTCTGTATCTTCAGCATGCCCGGCTTCTCTTTGGGTGCTGTTACTTTGATCCTGAATGTTGCCAGACCAGTCTCTTTAAATTCATCATTGGCCTTAACCCTTTCCATTGAATGAAGTTGCAACTCGCGCAATGCGTTAAGAACCATTTCTTGATCCAAAGATAAGTCAACTGCATACTTCTTAGCGAGTTCCTGGGATAGAATGTTACATGTAAGAAACAACATTTTGGCTGCAGTTTATATGCATAGCTTTTGTATATACAGTTTTTTTGGATGTTTTGGACATTTTAAATTTATTTTATGTTGCCATAGATTATTTAGTTAAAAATGGCTCATAGTTCAAAATTATTTAAGGCATATTTTAACGGCGCACTTATGTTAAAATATTAATTCATGTAAAACTTAGGCCTTAACGCACAGTCAACTTATGATACAGCTTATTTCTACACAATTACACATGAACATATATATAAATATATTAACAGAGACACTTGGGACATATTAGCAATGGAAAAAATCACCACAAATTCCATTAGCTTAGTGGATCAGAAGATATCACAAAAAAAAGTTTGGGTAGCATGTCATGTTTTGAAATTACTGCTTGAATGCATTAATTCGTTCTCATGTGGTTATTTTTTAGTTACATTTTTTACTTGCAAACCATATTAAGCTTAAACAGATACAAATCACCCTTCTCTCACTTACCTTCATTTGCCAACACAAGAAAGACATTTTCACCCAAAATCATATTTATCACTCTTTTAAAGCACTAAACATTAAACGGAATTCGCAAAAAACATAGGTAATCCAAAAAATAGTTTCCACAAATTCGCATTTAGCTAACATCTAATTGCACTTCACCACATGTGATTTGAAACAAGATTATAAGATGATAAGTCAGTATAAAACTCATTGTAATCAACAAGATTTTGGATTTTTTTTGGATTTTCAATCATTAGAGCTAAGTAATAAGATAACCCAATAAATACATAGAACTGTTTGTGAATTATAGAGAAACTGTATATTATTATAGAGAATGACTAATTAGGAATTTAAGTTATATTAACAGACTTCCCCATTTATTATGCTATGAAACTGTATAAATTGCCAAAATCCTAACATACTTTTTTAATTCTATGATTCCCTTTTTTTACATACTTTTTAAGCAATTCAATAAGATTAACTTCTAACTTTTTCTACATATTTTAAGATTAACTTCATCAATACAATTCATGTAGAAATTTTCTAAGTACCATCATCATGCATTTATTCAGGATATCACGATACAATATATGATCAATACTATGAAAATAAAATCTTCAATGCCATAACGACTAAAATTAAATCGGATTTATTTAAACGACTTGCATAATACTATCGCGCTTATCACCACCGGAATAAATTAAAAATCAATAACAACAATAAAATTTAACAGAATGTTTCAATACGATAAAATGTAAACAATGAACCTGTAAGCTTTCTGATAATACATCGCTAGAATTGCTGAACGGCGGTTCCCACAGCTTAATCTTCCCGTCATTCAATTTACCACGCAATTTAATCAGTAAATCTTCATGCTGGAGAGTAGTCTCCATCGTGGATCAGATATATCAAACTATAATATTAAATGATTTGCAGAATATTGGCTTAGAATAAAACAACCAAAAACAAGTCTTCCTAGTCTTACAATGAATCGATAAACGGGAAATGACAGTTGTTAAATAATTGCCAGCCACAAAACTCAATATACAACAGGAGCCTTATCTTTAGCGAGTGTCACGAAATTGATTTAATGGAGAACTGTAAAACTATTATAAGTAGTGAATACAATTTTAAAGTATTAACTCGTTATATTCGAAGTATGGGGATTGCCTCATTTTTGGTCACACTGAAACGATCTCCATCTATTCCAGATAACTAACATGGGTTTGTTTCAGAGAGCAATAGGGATCTGTTACAAGAAACACCTGGCCGCTGAACCAGAAAATTTCAAGCAAATTCTGCATGACAACAAGCTTTAAGCGATGCGCCTATGTCAAAGTTTTCAAGTAAACCAGCTACAGTGGAGCGTGAACCAATAATATTGGTTACATCGTAAAGCACGCGTCGATTTATGGCATTCTAAAAGACGCTTAAGTAGATTAATCAGATTCTACTAGGTATCTGTCAAGACTTCAATCAATAATATTCCCCTGCGAGATCCAGTAGTGTACAAGCTTCATTGTGAATGTTGGCTCATTTACATATGACAAACAAAACGAGCAATAAGAACCCACGTGAAGGAATATACAACAGACTTAAAAGATAAAAGATGAAATAACTCTAGTCTATAAGCACACCTTAAATCGCCCCAACCACTTTTGAAAGTGGTAGGGCCACGCTGCAGTTTCTGCTGTTGCACAGATGGGCAGTCTCATCTGAGGAATTACCACGGCCACACAGAAGATCGGCGTGAAGTGGAAGTATATGCTTTCGCGTTTCATCTGGTAAGTCAGGTAACCGAATCCACTTTTTTTAAGGGTTGGCTACACCTCTGCAACCCGAGGTTATGATGACATTCAGAGGTCTAACGCTTCAGTTTGTGATATATGATGATCATGATCATAATTATCATCATCTATGCAGTTAGTCCCTTAAACAAGATCGCTGTAAAGTGTTCGAAACGTCGCCAATCATAATGAAAAATAAACAAGATAAATCCGTAAAATATGGATTAATTTAGTAATTATATTACTACGTAAAATTACTTATTAGAGATTTGATATCGTAGTAAAGTTTATTAGAACAATTTTTTACAGAAATTTTAAATTAAATTTTTCGGATAAAAATCTATTTGCTAAGACTCATTAAAATTATCAATTTAGACGTAAATTTAAACTCATAATCAGTATTTCTCATTACTTCACACTGTATTAAATTTACTACCTAATAAACAGTCAGATTTTTTTCGTGTATCACTTTATACAGTTTTCTTGTACTGTATTTTACGCGCCTAAAATGAGCAAAGTTTTATTGCTTCTCGGTAACGTGAAATAAGTTATTTTAACAATAAGATTTAATTTATTAAACGTGTCGATCTTATTTCCATATCTTTGCAGTTACTTTGGTCATCCTTCATTTGGCCGACTCTTACATCTTGCTGACCGCTAACATGGAGGATGTGCAGAGCGTGGTCAAGCAGTTGTCCAGTTCGCCGGTCATCGAGCAGGTGAAGAAGATCTGGCGTCGGGCCGCCAACCAGTTCAACGCTGAATTGAACAAGTCGCAGAAGCGCCAGCGTTATAAAAGCGGAATGGATTCCGGTCAGATTAAAATGTTCTTTTTTTATGTTAGAAGGTGGCTAGCAGTTAAATATGTAATGACAACCGCCACCCATTGACATTTGTAACATACGTAGGGTTGTAGATGCGTTTCCAAGTTTTAATGAAGTGGGTCCCGAGTACCTCACTCACCAGACGATACGTAGAAATATAACACTTCCATTTCACGTCGGTGTTCTGTTTAATATGTATAATATTTGCGTAAATACAAGAATAAGGAGTAAGAAGTTAGTAGTTAGGGGAAGAACCATTACAACATGTAATAATTTTCTCATAAAGCAATATAAATGGCAAGCGACGTGAGTAACAAGTGCTCTTTAATATAGGTAAGATGATGGGCCTAACTACTTCGTAAGATGTCTTAAGACATTATGTCTGTAGCAAAGCACACGCAGATGCATTAATATAATTTTCAACAAAAAAAAACCGACTTCAATCAGAAAATTAGAAACATTGTTAAACCTGTAACATTCAATGATGGCCCTCGATTTCTCTGGGATGCCATCATCAGATCCGGGTTTCCTTATCATGGTAGCACCCTTGGGATAACTCCTTTCCGACAAAAAGAATATCAAAATCGGTTCATAAGCGACGAAGTTATCCACGAACACACATAAAAAAAATAAAAATATAAACGGTCGAATTGAGAAACCTCCTCCTTTTTTGAAGTCGGTTAAAAATTACCGTCAACTATTAGTAAAACTGTCTGGTTTGTCTTTTTTTATCAAACTAGATGGAGAAAGCGTTTTCGGTATGCTTTCTATGCAAGCCACGTACCGGGCACCACGTTCAAATGCAATTACTGTTTAATCGGTGTGCACACAAGTAAAACGAGCATTTCGTGCGAATATTGTCAATTTGCGTTTCAAATAGCAACCGAGAATTCGCTTCCGTAACGTATTTTATGACTTTTCATCCAGATAACGACCAGTTGAACAGCAAGGAGCTTTTCCGACGCAGGAACATGGACGCTTTGATATCGTTGGGCAAGAACGCAAGTGAATATATCAACTCCGTTAAGGATGTTATCAACAAAGTCCTTGCGTAAATAAATCACTGATTTTGGATTTAACGAGTGTTTCACTGCTACCCTTTACGATTATTCACTGTATAATGCGATAACATACAAGGGCTAAAAAGTGAATAGTTAGATGGAGAACCCTACGTTTGAAGGTCCCTGAAGCTATCAGAAGTAACTAAATTGTTTTCCACCCGATGCAAATTAATGCTTTTTAAGCTTTTAATGAACTACATCAGTTATCACCCACCAGCACGTATCGCTTACTATTGAGTAAAACGACAGACTAGTGTGGAATGTTTGTATTTAAAATCGTGACTGTTGATACTGGAAAAATGAGACGACAACGGAGATGGGAATTTAGTATTCGTCGAAGTAGGCCACGAAACTGAACTCTCTCGCCGTAATGTAAGTAAGTTTTAGGGTAGAAATAATAATTCAGATTTCTACAGAGTACCTATTTTTCCAAACATTCTGCGATTAAATACAAGTTCATTGTTAATTACATATTACTTAGTTCAATTATTTAATGCGTAGAAGATGCTAATTATGGTTGACATATAACTGACAACTGTGTTTCCACGTAAACCCCTGTTAAGCCTTTGTTAGGATCAAGGTATTGTTCTGTTGATTGTCTAAAATCAATATAGGGGGCCGTGATGACGCTGTCATCTTCAGAGGTCTGTGAATTTATGGTTATCCAGTACTAGAGCATTGAAACTGGAACAATATTCATGTAAGACATTGTCTTGTCGCATGGAGTATTCTATGCGGCGAGTGACAGCTAATATTTTGACTATCCCTTCCGAAAATTCAGTTACAAAATCTCAAAATGAAGTATATTTCAGAATAGAAAATTGTATGCGCCTATTATTACCGCGTTTCTGTTACTGTGTGTAGTCAATTAAATTTTTTCTATATCAATCAGTATGCACTGTTAGATCGACCCGACAATAGCTATCTTGGGCACCCTCGAATCGGAATACTAAACGATCAAACCGTGGCCCCCTCAGGAGCCCTTGCGCCTAGTTGCTCCATGGAGCGTTCGCCAAAGCGCCCTAAGAGCTTGGCTGCCACCCAATCCGGTATTAATACTAAGAGAGTGACGCCTGAGCCTAATAATAAATTCATTTCATTATTCGTGGCAGTCTGTGGAAGAGGCCTATGTTCAGCAGTGGACTCAAAAGTGGACACAGGATGAAATGATGATGGTGATGATTAAGAAACGACGTCTAGGCTAGGCGCCATCAGCTTCCGGCCACGTCCAGCCCGGTGGATCTGTAAAGGTCTTCTAAAGGCCAACGGTGAATGAATCAATAAAAAAATGAGATCGAGCAGAATGTAAGAGAGATAAAGTAAGAAAGCGAATGATTATTGCATTGTCATTCATTTCCGAAATTTCAATCCTCCATCTCGCCGGGTAGTTAGTTAAAAATTGATTGGAAACTTGTACGACTCAGAATCGTAGGCCCCGAGTTCGAAATCAAAGCGACATAGCTTTATTCATAAACAATAAGTCCATGTTAAATTGTAAGTCGCTGTATTGATATTTGCATGTAAGAATTCCCTAAAGCTGGTATACAACTAGGTCTCGAATCTGCGATCTTAGATTCCAGCTATGACGTAGAACTAGTACGTTCTACATATTATATTATTCGACGCACGACACATGGAATATATTGTTTAACGGAGTGTGGCCGTAGTTTCTTACGCTAAATTGGTTGCTGATGCCACGGAAATTTTTGTACGATCAAGCAACACGTACAAGCAATTTCTGCATCATGAATTATTCTCTCAAGTAAAAGAAAATATAACAGTTTTGTTGTCTTGTTTGTCATTTTTACAACAGTAAATCACAATAGTTTATGAGGATGATGACAAGAAGCGGAAGTTAAACTAACTAGAATATAGATTGCATATCGTAAGCTAAGCCCCGCGAGAATGAGTAAGAGTAAGATCATCATCAGACAAAGCAACGACAAACAAAGTAATAGAAAATTCAAAATATTTTTTTGTAATTTTTTTATGTTAAAAGCTAAACGAGCAGACGGTTTACCTGATGTTAAGTGATTACCGCTGCCCATGTCAATGGTCGGCAAAACCTGACAGGTTGCAGATGCGTTGCCAACATTATAAAAGTACCCCGTTACCTGTACCCGAATCGTTTCGTCTAGTCATTGACCAGATAATAGTGAGATAGCAATTTTCACTGCACACCCAAACCCGTGGGTTCTGGCTAGCCCACCGGTTCTGCGTCAGATGAAGCTTTAATAGTCTCGGGACTGAAAGCAAAAACATCAGTTAATACAAGACACTACACACCGGTCATCTTTGCGGCCGTGGTTCCTCCCGGATGAGCCTTTTTCGATCAAAATCAAAATCAAAAATATATTTATTCTCATAGACGCTGGCGCGTTCTTATGAAACGTCAACATTTACATAAAAATTTATACGTTCGTAAGTAAGCTACCACCGGTTCGGAAAGCAGTTTCTGTTGAGAAGAAACCGCCAAGAAACTCAACAGTTGCTCATCAGTTACAATATATTAGGATAGTTATAAATCTTACTTTAGCCTACGTGAGTATCAACAGTATTAACCCCACACATTGTCGTCGTCAAGATATTCCGTAATGGTATAATAATATGCCTTAGCCGTAAGTTCACTTATAATTTTACGTTTAAATTGATCTAGTGGCAGATTTAGTGTACGATAAGATGCTGTGAAAATAACTTAAGTAAACAAGTCTGGCAGTGTCGATGTCTGTTAGCTGCCTACGCTTCCTAATCGCAAAAACAGCGGGGCTTAGCCTACTCGCAAGAGATGATAGATGGTGACTCCACTAGAGCTTTGAATCTACTGTAATTCCCAGAAATACAGCAGACTCAACTGGATTAATGGGCATGTTATTTAATATTAAACTAAAACTTTTTCTTCTTATACTGGAAAGGGTAAAATGTAAACATTTAGTTTTTTTGGCATTTAATACCAGTGGACGATATGTGAAAGTGCACTATTCACATCGTCATAATTTAATACGTTTCGGTCAACCTTAAAAATTAGCGATGTATCGTCAGCAAACAGTACAACATCACACAACCCACTGGCATAAAAGGGTAGATCATTATTATAAACTAAAAATAATAATGGGCCCAAGATTGATCCTTGTGGGACACCCATTTTCATCGGGGACCCAACGTAAATAACATCATTTATAGATACTTTTTGAATTCTATTACTAAGGTAAGAGGCAATGAGATTGAGGGCGCTATCACGAATCCCATAATAATCTAGCTTGCAAAGAAAGGTTTTGTTATCTACGCAGTCGAAGGTTTTTGAAAGGTCGCAAAAGACACCTAACGCATCTTGTGACCTTTCCCAGGCGTTATAAATATGCTTGACAAGTGCGACGCCCGCATCTGTTGTCGATCTGCCTAATATAAAATCTATCACCGGTTCACTAAACTAGACCTGCACAGAGAAGAACCGGCAAGAAACTCTGCGGTCTTGTTCTTTTTTTTTATCTAATTATACACACTTATTTAGGTATAAAATCAGCAGCAGCCAGGGGTCTTGCAAGTGCAGAGCAAAAGTCATTTCCAAACATCCTTGTCCTCAATGTATTCTTGGACATTATATTAGGCCCTTGCCATTAAGGTAGCTTTTACAACAATACATACGGCTGCTTGCTTGTATTTTTATTCCAGTTTGCTAAATATATGTACAACGCGTATAACCTTTCACCCATATACAGTGGAAATATCGGGATCCCAAGTCTATTTCCATTCCAGGCACTATAAGTACATATTACACATTACTATTAGTACATAATACAAATTTAATTTCTAACAGTCAATGGCGACATCTCTCGTTCGAATCATCGTTGTAAAACGATATTCGAAATTGTCTGTATGCTTGAAAGGATGTAGCAATGGATGCGCCAAGTATTGCTTCAGATAAAAACAATGTAGATAAAAGACGTTATGATTTTCGTTGGTGTGGCAATCAGGCGTTTAGCTTAGTAGCTAAAGAGTCAGGCCATGAATGACGAAGACGTGGGTTTGATTCCCACAGCGGCGACAATCTTTTCGTACTTTTCTACAAATTTTAATAGTACATATCTATTTATAATTATATATTTTTATCTATGTCACAAATTCGAGCACACAGATTTATTACAGTCTGAGGGAAGAATTAACTAACAAACGCATTTTAATACAAGAATATGATTATAATAATATCGCCGTTTAATTCTTGTAGATGACGCTAATAGATTGCCTCTTTTCGCGATCAGGCGTCTCTCTGTCCCATAGCAATTAAATTAGGGTACCAATCGTCTCCAGACGGATTACTTTGCGTTAGGAATATCAAATTAGTTAAATTACGATAGACGCACGTCGCGTCGCCTTGAATTCTATCTAAATGACCGCAAGTAAAATTTGTGACCGCCTTTCAATCGTTTAATTGGTCCTTTATTTCTTTGTGTTTAAATGGAAGAAGATTAAAAAAAACCGCCCAAGTATAAAAACGGCAAAAAATCATGTCTGTTGTATGGGAGAGCCATATTGATATTTTTTAGTCTTTTTTTTTTGAATTTGTTGTTATAGCGGCAAGAGAAATAAATCATCAGTGAAAATTTCAACTGTCTATCACGGTTCATGAGATACAGCCTGATGAAAAATCGGACGGACAGACAGACAGACAGACTGACAGCGAAATCTTAGTAATAGGGTGTTGTTTCATCCTTTGGGTAAGGAACCCTAAAAAAATGTAGAAACATACAAAAAGCTAGTTTCTTTGTTTTAATATTTAAAAAAGCTAACATCGCCTTGGTAACAAACATAAAACTACGGACACAAATATTCCCAGGCCTGTACCATCTAATTGTGGGGATCAAAACATCTACAAGACGGGTATGCTACGCCGGGAAATAATCTAAAACTGGCTAATTAAAATAAACACTGAAGAAAGTAATCCATCTGTATAATTACAGTTTTATTAGATAATGAAATTTAATAAAATTAATATT